AAATTAGTTTTAAATAATATCGTAGACAAGTGCCTATGTGTTTACTTCCACTATCAAAAACTATAATAATATCAATACGATTGTTTTAGTTTTTTTTTATCGTGCTCTTGTTGAAGGTCGGAGATCTTTCTCCGCTCTTCGGCATCTGGTGGCACTTCTTTGATACAGAAGAGTTCTGGCCCTTTTACCTCGCCCTACCGCTGCAATGTTTTTAAGTTTTAGCGATATCGTTCAACAATCAAAAGTTTCATCGCCATATCGTTTGTAGAGAAAACAATCAGTCGCACTAACGTAATGTCCAGCTGATATGCTGACGCACTGTCCTACTATTGTCATAACATTTGTCGTGTATTTATTTGTCGCAGCTATGAATTGCAACCACAAAATGTTATAAACATTACGGTGGGACTGCATTTATGACCGTATTCATTCAAATTCGTACGCCGCTCGTTCGTTCTGTGTACACATACATTTTAACCTGATAATACTGACGTATACGAAAGTATGATTTTGGTTGGTCACATGCATGCAGATAAAACTTGATACGCCTACTTGTACCCTTTTTTATATTGAACACCTAATTTTAAACGATGCCTAAATTTACCACAATAGATTTTAATCCCAGTGGCAGAATTGCACGACCTCGATTACACTATGTGATTGAACACGAGTGGTAACGGTTCGAGCCCCAGAGCCTGCTGACTTTTTGGTCTTTTTGTTTTCATGACAGGATATATTTTTCAAATTTTATTACTATAAAATTACTAAAAACGAAGGAAAAAGGTATGATATGCAATTAAATAAAAAAGTTATAATTTTTCATAAGATTCTGATAATTTATATATCTTAGGCGTTTGTTTTATTTATATAATAACACTAACGATCGTAACTAAGTTCACCGAACAACAAGTAATTTTATATTGTTTCAAATCTACCCTCAACTTTTAGTAACAATCAGTTCAAAATATTGAATCAAGGATTTGTATTCTTGTTGAAGTGTTGTATGAGCTGTACACCGGCGGCATTTGCGTCAGCATCCATCGCACTGCCTGACGGATTGATGTAAATGACGTGGAAATTAGTTACTATAATCATACGTATGTAGTGTGTGTATGTGTGTGTAATATTTGTAATAAGAGAAGGTCGTAAGTCCAACTATTGTTATAATGCTATAACTTCGTAAGAATAGGATTGAACATATGACTGCTACCGTATAAAGGCGAGCCTAGCTAGCTTAGCTTTAATAACATGTTTTTTTTTTTATAATTTCACACATCTCACACACGGCCGTCTGATCCCAAACTAGGCAGAGCCTGTACTATGGTAATCAGACTGCTGATAAACATACTTATATATTTCTAAATACATACATAATATAGATAAATTACACCCAGACACAGAACAAATCATCGTGCTCATCACACAATTATTTGTCCTGGGTGGGAATCAAACCTCTGGCTTAGCAGTCACTAACCACTAGACCAACAGGCCCGTCAATTATGTTAAAAGTTACATGATCGTTTTCCAGATGATATATTCATTCACAGTCAGCCTAGGTTGGTTCACCGTTGTATTATATTACATAATCAGTATGATCGTAAAAAAGGTAAATCAACAATAAAATGTAAACATATAAAACATACAAAAAAATATTATACTGAAACACAATATGTTTATTTTTACAGGAGAACCTACATGGATTTATGTTGAACATGTTTTGGTTTTTGATTTGCGATATTATTTCGCTTGTTATGGCCTTCTATGCTGGACAAAAGCTACACAATGAAGTGGTTATGTTGAACAGGGCTGTTACTAAATTATATAGTTTGGTTTCCGAAAGTAAGTACCTATTATTTATTTTGTCAACAAACCATTTCGATTTCATTAATAATCATCTCAATTCTTTACCCCTCTATTTAAATATAAAGTGATACTCTGAAAGTTTAAATAATTATTTTTGTTGAAACCATTCATCCATATCACTACTATAATTGCATATTAGTAAGAAAAATACTCACGAAAACTATACACTCACAAATAAATTTTATTAAAAAAACATTAACACAAAAAATTAAACTAAGGTCTGCAAATAACATAAACTTAATAAAACCTCGGACAAACTACGGGAGTAAAACTATTTTGTATCAGGGAGCAAAAATGTATAATATGCTACCAAAACTTATCAAAGAAGCAAAGAACATCAAAAGGTATAAATTTTTATTAAAAAATCATGTAATAAATAACATCAAATAAACGTATACTAGACTACGCTCCACTAATTAATTACACACTATGCATACCACATCTAGCTACCCTTGATCTTTGTACTCTGCGATAACAGAACAAGTTCTACAATATTTTAGTTTACAAAAGTATTCACACTTACCCTCGAAGTTAATTATTTATTTTTTACTTGCTTTGTATTAACTACTTAGATTTGCCGCTCCATATAAATATATTGTTAATTGCATAGTTATGTTCTCATGTAAGTGAATGTTATTCTTAATGAGAATAAAAGTTTCTGAAACCCGATATCAGATACATACACTCACGCCTATATCCACGAATAGATAGGCAGAAGCCTATTAAACTACCTGAGTACTACGGTTAAATATCAGATTACATCAGAAATGCAATCAAAAATTAATCCTTAAATGAATCTCAGAACAAATAAAATCATTCCTGAGATACTCTAATATATTTCTAAAGATTCTAAGACAAAGATACGAAAATATTTAGCAATGTTATGAACTTCCAAAAGCTTTTTTATCGTACCGATTTAAACTGTGATCTATTGGTTTTGATGGAATGCTGGTTTTCGTGCAACTCTTCCATTCCCATACGTCGTCACATACAAAAACTGTAAATACATAAGTCGGAGCGATGGGTGTGATTTTCTACACCAAGGATACTCAAATAATATATTCAAAGAACCGGAATTTAACAAATCATGCTCACATCATTAATCAGTACATCAAATTAGGCTCTAAGAGGGCAATTATTTGCAATGCACTCTTATTTTCCTCAATAACCATAAATTAGTTATTATAAAAGGCAACATTAAACCAGAATCTTTGGATACACGATCACAGTTCTATCATAAACACCTGGCTTTTCATGGGGTTTTACCTGCGCACACTCATCCCACTAGCAGTAAAAAATATTTAGATGAATTATGTCTATAATAATAATACTTACGCGCACTTACTTACACAGCAAACAGATATTTTGATGCTCAACAACTAAGGAAGGCAAGTCAAAGCCATAAAAGGCTTTGGAATATATATATATATAAAATACTTCGAAATCAAAACAAATTTTAACTTAATTATTATCTCACTGAACATACGGGATGTTCAGAGAGACAATAATTAAATATAATAGATAAAATAAATAAATGAGTTGTTTGTAAATGTTCAAAGAAATGTTGCTAAATACACACCTATCAATTATTTAGTATCTTGGTATAGCCTAGGAACGAAGAAAACTTCGGACACTACAAAAAGATTCCGTTTCTGGTTTTATCTCGAACAGAAAGCATTATCGATAGGGCTGTCGAGACATAATAGAGTGAAGTCCTGTTTTGCGGTAATTTAAAGAGCATGACCAAATTAGCCTTTAAGTGGCTTGGTGTGCTGAACAAATCATAACAGAATTTCAGACGGTAGGCTAGCTTCTTCCTCTGGATCGCATTCAATGGAGAGAAAATCCAATTGTAGATTGTCAGAACATTTCGACTTGACTCCTAGGCATTGCATACAAATGTGCACTTTACAATTTCTATCGCTTGCATTATGGGGAATGCTATCAGGAATTGCTAAGACTTATCATATGATATAAGCGTTTTTCCACTATTGTTTCACGTGGCAAACATCCATCTCGATCAATTATGGAAAATTAGTTCTCAACTTTCAAGAAACTCTTGCCTCGTACAACCAATTTGTAAAAATAATTGTCGCTTATGATTTAACTTTGTTTCAGATCCCGAAAAGCCTGTAGTGAAAGCTGTCAAAAATCTACTAAATTTAATGACGAGAAATACAGTTACAGTAGAATTTATCAATGTTAGCATGGGAATGTATCTAATTCCGATGATTTTGTCATCAACAGTCGCAAATGTAATTACGGCTTTGCAATTCAATAATGTTATTTAAAAATTTAAAAACGTAAAAAGTATTGTAAATTCTAATTTATTGAAATTATTATGTATTAACCTATGTTGTTAAGAGGGTGATGGTAAGAGGTGTTATGTATACATATGTAATAATAAATGAGTGTGTGTTAACTGACAATGTGTTTATTTAACACCAAAGTTACGCTATGTGAGTACAGTAAAAGTTCCCAATGATAACGACCTAAAATAGGTTTATTTAAGATTTATTATCTAGGACTGTACATCTAAAAAAAACAACAAAACAACCTTAAAATTCAAAACTGGCGATTAATTTTTTTACATATATACCTAGTGTCATTCTCATAAATAACACCTTTAACGCAAAATGTATCAAGCCATTTAAGCTATAGAGCATGCCAAAGACATTTACACACACACATTATCATCATCATTTACACACATACAAACACTCGAAAAATATAACCCTCTTTCTGTCGCAGTCGGATAAAGGGACAAATTGAATAAAATCTATAATCAATAATATTCATTTACTGTAATGATGTGCGCGTGCTCAAAATAAAAACTATCACTATCACCAAAAGTTATTGGGCTCAATGGGATAGCTTGGATCTACACAACAGTATCTTCTACTGGAAACGGGCGAAGATCAACAACAGATACTTCCACCTGCAGATAGTTGTGCCAAGAGCAGGTGCCAGACGTTCTCCGTGAAATACACGATAGAGTTTCAGGAGGTCATCTTGGAGGACACTAATAAATTCATTGTGGGCAAGATGTACAATATTGGTGCCTTAAATGTACTACTTGAACTGCTACTCATATAAAGGCCCACAGACGGTTAGCTGAGTGAACCTGCGACCGTACAATGTCGGCGCACAACATCACCAGACCATTCCCTCTTGGTGAGTCGGGAGACAAGTTTCACATGGTTATGTACTTCTTGACCAAGTGTCCAGAAGTATTCGCCATGCTTAATCAGGAAGCTGTAACAGTCGCGAAGAAATTGGTCGGAGAATTCTATTCAGACCATAACTGGAACTTCGAATCGCAAGTGTTTCAAGAAGTATATAAAATTTTGGGATAATGGGTTCACTAATTTGGCCACATCGTCTCATGCAAGACTCGAACTACCGTATATCACCCTCTATCGGATGGTACCCTCTATCGGATGGAATGGTAGAATGATTTAATCGAAACAATGTGGCAAAATTAGTGAACACTTATCAGTGGGACTGAGACAAGTAAATTCCACTGTATTTCCTCGGCTATAAATCCGCGGAATATGAAATCACAAAGGAACCTCTCGCATACGTCATCTTTGGTATAGAACTTTGAATACCAGTAGACCTACAGGATATCTTTGCTATTCTAATAATCGTCTCCTTCTTTGAACTACTTATAATTCCAGTGTGATTCATTCTTACTTCGCTGTCCAAGCTGTAAATATTTGGAATATGCTTCCATTTGCAATCAATATGTCCACTAACCAATTCACTTTTAAACTGAAAGTATATTACCTCTATAGAGATTAGAGAGTTGTTGATGGAATCATCTGTGTAATATTTTATGAGTGATTTAATTATTTATGTAGATGTGTATGTATGTATCTTTATTAATATACTATGAATAGATTATGTATGTGTGCCTAGTGTAATAATACTCCAATTATTCGTAACACATGTTAAATGTGTTTGAAATATACACCTGCCACCCACAGCTATGTACCACCCAAAGGTTGACTGGAAGAAAATGTTCGCCTTATTCATTATTTATTTATTTTAAACTTAATGCACATGTTGTACAATGGCGGACTTAATACCATTAGGCATTCTCTCCCAGTCAAACTGCAGGTGATGTAGAAATATGATGCGGTAGGTGCAAAATAAAATATTATATTTAACATAATTTAGGTCCAGAAACATACACAATATATAAACACACATACATACATAAACCTACATAAACTTAATAAAATATATAAATACTTAGTCGGGTACTAGTGATGCAACTGTTCTGCCAATTCACCCAGAAGAAGATCGCGCACAATACAGATTTCGACAGGGAGGGCATTCCAGAGAAGAACTGACTGGACGTAGAAGGAGGAGTTGATGAAGTTGGAGGAGTGGAGTGGAAGTGGGGTACGAGGTATTCAGGTAACGATGGAGAGTTGAAGAAAGAAAAGAGAGAAGTCAGTGCTCGTAAACTGCGGCGCTGACGAATTGGGAGCCATTGCAGCTGGGAACGTAAAGCAAACACGTGGATATACTTAAAAGATTAAAAACGAATTCTGATGGTACATCAAATAACCCTAGCCTGAGTAAAGCAGTTTTTCAACTATTAAAGACGTAGCCAGCTCCCCTCCCTATGGGGGGAGGTCTGACGCCCCGCCTGGCCGCGTCAGGCTGTAAGAAGCGACCCTGACTGGATATATTTCCACTGGCTTTTTAATGTTCGAATAAACAATAAAAGACTGCGATAAGAGGGAATCAAAGTCTAAAGGAAATAATTAAATACATTGGTATTGGTTGTGATTGCTTATCAGAATTCCATTCATTGTGCGCTTAAGCTTAGAGTGAGTCAATCAACTTCTACAACTGAATGATCAAGACCGCAAGGTCAGACACGTGAATACTGCTCGTCTCGTGTTGCATTAGCCCCTATGCCGATGCCCTATGGCGGATTCGGACCGCTCGATCTCCACCAATTCATCAATAGCATCAGCGCTTTCCCGTAAGCCGACCACAGGATCCGCCCACTAAAACGCCCTTCACTCAAGCACACGGCATGTATTAACCACATCATAAATACTCCACAATAACGGGTCACCTAAGAATAACCGTGTAGCCATGATAGCGGCCTGGGTGTCAACCCAGGGTGGCCTCACCTCATCTATTAATCGATTCACCACACTGAAGAGTCCTATAAAGGGTCATTAATCATTCTATCACATTCTAAGGTACCTTAACCAATACCAAATGCTTAAGTTAATTAAACAGGTATCTACACTACATCTACCCAACTATTACTACGTTACTCAGACCGGAATATAGATACGTATAATATATTAATCCTATAACATAATAACCAATAAAGACTCACCTAGCGGTCCTCAACGTTCTATATATTTAACTTACTCAATCTAGCTGCAATATCAATCTCCGCTTCCTAGCTCCCAAGACCGACTGTCTTGTCCTACGCCTTAAGATCAACTGCCCTGTTCCTCATTCATTATCGTTCCCAAAAGGACTCCTATTTAAGGGCTTTTCTCACGCTTATTCGTGTGCAGTCTTGCACATGTGCCCGTTTTTAATTGCTATCGTGGACCCTTGGCTATCCCTTTTTTATGGTATTAGTCCTAGGAACGCAATAAGTCTTTTGTTCATAATGCGCCGTCATTCATTTTGCAATACTTGAGATCATAAAGTTCACTTTTTATTAGGGTCTGTTTTTTATTCGTCTAGACCTTAAATGCACGTATAGATAACTTTCTAACATTACTTGTCTAAAATAACATTTTTGTGAAGTTTTATTATTACGTGATTGTAGCACTATCACAGAATCGAATGCAGTTATTGAGAAGGCTATCTAGTTTATTGAGAAGGTCTGCATTCAGGTCGAAATAACACACATCACCATAGTCGATTAAGGGAATAATTAAGGACTGCATAAGCGTAGCCTTAGTTTTAGCAGGAAGGAAGTTCTTCAAACGATATAAAGCACGAAGACATGTGATGACTTTCTGGCTGACGTGTGTAACCCAGGTTCGTTACCACTGCACTATAAGGTATAGTCACATTGTTGTAGACAACTGGTGGGATGACCGCCATATCCAACCTACTTATCATTTGTTGTCTCCCCACGTAGATCACTTGACATTTGGTTGGATTTACCAACAAACCAAACCTCGTTGACCAGCTCTTTTTAAAGTCCAAGTCTTTGTTGATTTTGGCGTTAACGTATGTTATGTCCTCAACCCTTGTCTGTGTGTACACCTGTAAGTCATCAGCGTACAGGTGATATGTACACTGAAGGTGCTGGGTTATGAGATTAATGAATATTGAGGGAAGGGAGATAATAAATCGCCTTGAGGGACGCCAGAGAGAAGATCACACCAATTCGACGACAAGTTATCAATATGAACACTCTGTTGTCGTCCCTGAAGATAGGAGGAGAACCATTCCAGAGCTTCTGAGGAGATCATAAGACAGGAAAGGATGGCCAGTAGAACGTCATGACTAACAGTATTAAAGGCATTCGAGAAATCGATCAAAGTCAGCACTGTGACTTTAGTGTCCTCCATACCCTCCCTAATATCGCCTGTCACTTTGAGGAGATCGGTGGTTGTGCTGTGACCAGGTCTGAACCCAGATTGTGAAAGACTAAGAAGATTCTAATGATTTACAAACTGTGAGAGCTGCTTATGTACACAGGCCTCTAGCACTTTAGAAAGAAGGTAAGTATAGAAATTAGTCGAAAGTGTTCGGGGAGACAGGTGTTAGTTGTGTATATTAATAAATACGTTGCCTTGCTCATAAATTGCAAATACTCTTGTGGGATTTCCCAATCTAGAAAGTGGCAGATACAAACATAAATTATCTAAAATAAAGTTTTGCTACCATGCTTTATCAAAGCTAGGGGTCTAAATTGTAACATTGTATTTATGAGGCTTCTTTATGCAATGGGAAGATAACTGAATCTTGGTCAGATTTGGCTTTAACTTTAAAAATTAAAAAGGCCAATGGAAACGAAATTTATTTCTTTTCTACTACAAACTTATACACTTATAAGTTTCAGCTTTGGTTTCGGTCTCAGCCGTAAAAAAATAGTTTCAGTTGAACTCTAAATAAAATTTGAAATGTTTTGTTACAGCAAGTAAGAAAACATCTTTTTTTTTCATATACCTTCCTTCATGTGTATGGGTATCACCATTATCTATGTGACATCAAATATCAACTCATATGAGTAAAAGCAAATATGTTTTGCCGATCTATTTACATTTAATTTCAATTTATTGCTACTTATCAAAACAGCCATTTTATTATTATATAGTTGAAATATTTTCTGGTTTGAAAAACCTTTGCTATTAAGTATACCTACTGCCCTAATCTGGGTAAAAATATTATTTTATTAATAAGTAAAACAAGAAGAGTGTAAACGTCTTTTCAATTGAAATAAATTCTTATAAAATGCATAATATAATCCAGTGCATTGAAGTGGCCGAAAACATAATGTGTATCTATAGAAACTACCTGTTTTGTAAGAAGAGATACAAAACTTTAATTTTGCTTCGCATAGTTATCGAAGTAGTAATATACTCGCTAATAGTTCTCGATAATTTATGTTTGGTGATACATGCGGCAAAAAGTGGTTTTAAAATTCAAGATATATATTTCCTAATGTATAATTTGTTTTTTGGTGATGTTTTTTTTGGCTTCTTTAGTAAGTCGAAAAGCATAACATACAAAATCTTCATTGACAATCTTACGGCTGTTCATGACGTGTATAGCAAGGACGTAAAGTACAACAAAAGTTTGACTCGATTGTATATTATATTCTTTATAAGCTTCCTTGCTATTTCTATGATAGCAGTATCTTTAACTATACTTAATATTATTCGCAATTTAGGGGGCGACTGGGGCGCACTTCATATTTTTGCAGTGAATTACTCACTATTTCGAAATAAATTAACCTGTATTTTAGAATATATTACATTATACGCATTTTTATCAATATTGACAAGTTTGTTGAAGTGCTTAAATAGTACAATATTAGAGATACAAAAGAATCTGCAATTGAAGGAAGAACTAAACACGGAATACAGTTATTCAATATTGGTTGAAAAGCTGACAAAATGGGCTGAGCTGTATGAATATTTAGTGGTCAGCGGCAAGCAGCTGTCAGCATGTTTTAAACATCAAGTAAATATTATCTTAATCTACACGTATATGCTAGCTGGTGCAACTTTATTCACATGGAACTTGAAAAGCGCTGCCTTAGTGGATTCGATGCCCGAACCGGATTTTTTTTTATAGACTAAGTTACTCCTTGCATAGACAGCTACCTGGCAGTGAAATGTTATCGAAA